TTCAGTATAGAAAAAGGTCAAGGATTAATACCCAAAGAAAATTGACAACACGACTATAATGATGAAATCAATAAATAATGTTAAACCTAAATTAAAAAACCTTAACATATAAACTTATTGAAGCAATTTCCGAACATAAGTAAAGTGAAAGAAAAGTACTAAAGAAATATTCATGTAACGTTAAAAAAAGAAGAGCTCGAGAAATAGAGAATTTGTATTTCAATTACGAGATTCCTTGTCAAATATCAAGATTCTTGTACGCTCTAAATAAATAGAAGTCGTTCATATAATTAAGAGATTATGTCACAAAAAAATATCTAGAGATTTGAAAAAATATTTTTTTCCTAAAAAAATTGAAGGGCCGACTCGCCATAGCCCGCGCCCTCTTAGGGCTAGGTCCGGCTAGCCATTTTAAGGCCCATATAGATGGAGGGTCGGCCCTCCCTAGCCTACCAAATTGAAAAGCCCACGAGGCTTGGGTTGGGCTAGCCCGTTTTGACAGCTCTACTTAATACTGCTACTAACTTTGATATGCTAACATTGAAATTGTAACCGCCAAACTTCGCCTTCGAGCCTCTATCATCATCTCGCGTTTCTCGTATGTTTCGCTCTTTTCCAAACCTTAACGATGGGCCTGATTCTCTATCTCTCGATCTATGATCGTACCATGAGTTATCCTGCTTTGAACGCGAGCCTCTTCCGGATGGTCCCATGTAGGGCTCGTACCTATTTTTATCGGATCGTTTTTCAGTTTCAGCATGCCTTGAACTTACCCTCTTCTCTTTTTGAGACTGAATGATGGTATCTTCTTCTTTCCGCAGCTTCGTGCTGTATCTGTTGTAAACATCATTCCATGTTGTTGCTGGAAATTCAGGTAGACTTTCCTTGAGTCGTCTCGTAGCTTCTGAACTTTTCTTATTTAGATTACTGGCAAAATCCATAGCTGCCCAGTTGTCAGGTACGCGTGGCAACATCATCCTTTCACGCTGGAATCTGTCTACGAATTCTCTGAGCAGCTCCGAATTCCCTTGCTTTATTTTGAAAATATTCTCCATTCTTTTTTCAACTTTTTGAGCTCTCGAGTGTGCTTTGATAAATAAATCAGGCTCAGAAAAAGAATTTATAGAATTTTCGGGTAAAAGAGAATACCATGTTAATGCTCCCTTAGTAAGTGTTTCACCGAATTTTTTGACCAATACTGATTCAATTTCTTGTTTGGTCAAGTCGTTGCCTTTTACACCGGTTGTGAATGCAGTTACGTGGTCTCGTGGATCAGTTGTTCCATCGTATTTTGAAATATCGAGCATCTTGAATTTATTTGGAACTGGTAGAGGAGCAGCAGTTGGCTTCTAAGGTTGTTGTGAATATTTGTCCATATCTATTCCCTTGATTACAAGCGGTACTCTGAGTATTTGCTCTATGCAGTCGCTTTGTTCCTTGAGCTATTTCTGCAAAGTTAATACTAAATTTTGTAAATCCGAATTAACTGTGTTAACTGGTTCTCCATCACGAGACTCGCTGGGAGTTCCGCCATGGCCTAAATTGACGAGTCCATAACGAGGGTTTTCCAAAGTGTTATTATTTGGAGTTGGTGCTGGCGGTACAACCGACAACTTGCTGGTAAAAGCCTGGAGAACATTGTTGATCTGTTGAGCAATTAATTTTTTAAGAGCTTCATCGATAGCTTGTTCATTTGCAACTCTGCCATTTTCATTTGATTCAGATCCGTTTGGAGTCCCCTCTCGTGATTGTCGTTATGAATGCTGTGGCGAAGGAGGTGGGGTTCTGTTATCTTGTTCGTTCAGTTGATGTTGTGGATCTTGGAGTGGTAAATTATGTTGGTTGTTGTCATTGACATTCGACATGGTTATTTTTGATAAAAGAATCGATTTGGAAAGCAAATGACTATCAGATTTCCGGTAACAGAACCAATTTATTTAACCAAAAATTGGAATTTCGGTCAAAGCTTATTTTTAGAAGAACTCGGGTTACTGATAATCAAGTAAAAAAAGAAATAATTGGTGTAAATAATAGCTGAATAAAAAGCAAAGTAAATCAATATATTCCAATAGTATTTCGTGCCCTTACAAATGTTCATTCCTCACCTTTTATAGCTATTTCTAAGTAATGCGTTTTTCTCCTTTCATAATGGTGTCATTATGGACAATTAATGGCATTTAATGTAACGTTATAATTGGCAATCGTAACTGATTCAATACAGATTCTATAACATTTTTCCGTACTTAATGCCTATTAATTACCAATAATACGTATCTATACCCCTTTCGCTATTTAGGTTCATTCTTCTGATGCCTCTTCAGAATATCAAGAGGTTCGAGTACCTATCCCTTCTAACTTTCTTGGATCTTTGCCCGTGCCTGCTAAAGCTCGTGCGTCTTCAACTATTCTTCGCCAACTGTCATTCTTTTACCAGTTCACGTGTCATGACGCATCACCACATAATTAATTCAATACATTAACTTGATTTTTCCCAATACATAAATATGGAATGAATATGTTAGCACTTAGGTCTGTTCAATTTGGATCAATATCCACTTCCAATGATAAGAAAAATCTTCCAAAAAGCCACCTATTTGATGTTCATATTTTCATAGGATACTACTATTTTCTGGACTTAGATTTGGAACAAACTGCATGAAAATTTGGTTGTCGTTTGGAAATGATTAAAGCATATAATGGATGTCAATCTTTGTCCATTTTCTTTCATGATAACCTTTATTCTTAATCACAAAAGTGTATGTAACTTTTCTTTTCATATGCCTAACAAGAAATCAACAAATATGCAAAGCAAGAATTGAAATAAAGAACATGCTTTAACTTAGAATTAGCCTGCAAAGAACAAGAGGTAGGGCCTTCCACTTTTACAAGACAGTAAAATCTACTAAATGATGCTTTTATTTTACCGTGCAATATCATTTGATTAAATTGCTTTATCAGCAAAACACTATGATTCTGAATCTCATTATAGACTCTAGGGTGGAAGCCAAAGTTGCTAGGACATCTGATTATTAGTCTGGTTGACTCACTTCAGTTTTTATTAGTAGTATTGTACAAGGTAGTTAAATGAATGTCAGTTATTAGGATTAACTATGTGGAGCAACCATGTTTTGCTTTGACCAAAAAGGCCTAAATAGGGGTGTCAAATATTCGGATTAAGCTGATTTTGGGTAAGTCAAAATGGGTTAAGTCAACAAATAGGCGTGTCATTGACCCGATCAAATATTACTTGGGTTGAGATGGACTGATAGCCTGTTTGGCCAAGCTGTAAAAATCAGCTTATTTTGAGAAGTGTTTTTTCTCAAAAGTGTGCTTTTCAAAAGTATTTTTGGTGAGAGTCAGTTTGTGAAATATTTTTGAGCATCAATTAGTGTTTGACCAAACTTTTAAAAACTACTTCTAAGTATATTTTTCTCAAAAGTGCTTTTGGAGAGAAGCTACTTTTTTCTACTTCTACTCAAAAGTACATTTTTTTCCTCTAAAAGCTTGGCCAAACACTTCAACTTTGGAAAAAAGTGCTTTTGGCTTGGAGAAGCTTGGCCAAACAGGCTATGAGTCAAGATGAGCCAAAATTTGTGCCATAGCCCAAGCCGCCCTATTCTTATCAAGCTCTAATTAATGTGTGTTATTTTCTTATGAATTGTTTAATTATCAAATAAGTCTTTTTTTTTCTTTTGTTATAGACATAGATAACATATTGAACAAAAAAAAAATATGTAAAGATATTTTAGCAAAGTTACTCACGAATAAATTTGCGCTAAAAATCACTCCAACTTTAGATGGGCTGAGATACAAGATGGACTGAGTTCAATAAATGTGCGGGTCATTGACCGGACCAACCTTAAACGAATTGGGGGTCAAATAGATTTGGGCTCAAATTGACACCCCTCAGCCTCAATAGGACATTGCCTTATTAACTTTGTAGTTGATTTTCGGGAATCTTACATAAATGTCCCAAATAAGTCGTCACTTACCAATCTCTAGTCATTAATCTTAGACTTATCCAAACTGGCCAAACAAATATATAAAAATTGAAAACCCAAATAAATAAGGTTCTTTCTCCCCAAGAATTACATGCAAAGATCTCCTTCCATAATTTTATACGTGATCAACAATATTAGATGCAAGACGGAAAGGAAATTTCATGGATGAGGTAGCAAACAAGGTGATGAAATACAAATATATATATATATATATATATCAAAAATCTAAGCTAAAAAGGACATTTTTCAATGGGTATGGTTGAAATTAGTTGAAAACATATAGATGGGTCAATACACAAAATTTGAGGAAAATTGGAGGTGATTTGAACTGATTTGGTATCAAAATTCGTAGTTAAAATCGAGTTCAAAAAGTTCTTCTGCGACACATGTATCTCACACACAGGTATATATGGATATACATGTGATACACATTTGATACAACTATGATACATATCTGATACACATATCATTTTTTTTCCATGTCCATCTTCTACTTCGAATTTCAATTCAAACCACCTCAGAACTCCACCAAATCATCCCAAAACTGGGATTTAAGCTATTTAAGATATACTCAATTTATTCTAATAACATCCACTCAAAAGAAAGCAAAAAATTGACTTTTTTATTTTTTGTTACAAATAACTAATTGGACTAATATTAGTAATATTTAATGAATTAACTAATTTTTGTAATACACTACTTATAAATGGACATAGCTAATAGTTTCCCTTGATTTCATCAGTCAAAGGTTAGCCACAGTAGTTGAGTTGTAATTTTTTTACCTTGTATATTATACATTTTAAGCTTTATGTAAATGGTTTGACAAGCTGGTAATCTCTTAAAAAATGTGAAGCAAAAACATTTCAAAACAGAACCTGTCAAATGAGCATGACATATGAAAAGAAATAGGGTAAAAATCAAAATTTTGACATTACTAGGAGTCAAAAATTTCTCTTTTCAAGAATACAAATTTACATGAAAAATGAACTAACTCTTGTTCAGTTTATTAAAAGTTACATTATATGTCGACTAGTTTTTGGCTAAATTTGAACTGTAATGTGCTTAGTCTCAACACCACGGCCTAATGAGAAGTAAGAATTGACAACTTTATGATTGTAAACAACAGAAACATTGTATTCACCTAAGAAACCTCTGAAACTATAGGAACCAAACTCATCTGTTTTTCCATGTTTCTTCTTAGTTTGCCATTCTTTCAATAGCAGCTTGTCAACAACATCGCCTGTCGGAAGGTTCTGGAATTTTTCATCGGTAAGGCACGTCTGATAACATCCTCCTACGCTACGTGATGTCCAAAGCATGATCCCGTTTACACTTGGATGCGAGAATCCCTCTCTTAAAATTTGTTCCAAGTACATCGCTTGTTCTTCGAGTTCATACATTTTGCTTACGTCCACTTCTGTTAGCCAAATAGGAAGCTTTAGCGTCGCCAATTTATCAAGAACAGCTCTCATGAAAGGAGGATTAGGTATAGCAAAATGACTCTCTAGACCAATTCCACCTACAGTCACCCCGCCGTTCTTTAGTTCCTTGTACTTTTCAATGTACCTGTCTACACTAGCTTTCGAGTCACAACGTTCAACAACGTTGTACTCGTTGAGAAACAAGGTCGCCAGTGGATCTTCACGGTGCACTTTCTTGAACATATCTAAGGTAGCATTAGGTCCAAGCTTTCCCTCATAAAAATTGAAATGCAGAAGTTCATTGTTTACATCCCAATGTACAAACTCATTCCTGTATTTACTTATCACACTTTTGATCCTGGATTTCATCGCTTGTTTCAGCTGAGGAGCGGTCATGTTTTCAAGCCAATCTTGTATATAGACAGGGTCATCCCAGAACATGTTGTGTCCTCTGGCTATAAGTTTGTTCTTACGAACGAATTCCATCATTTGATCTACTAAGGTATAGTTGAATTGACCAGGTTGTGGCTCTGTCTTATACCACTTGAGCTCATTTTCAAATACTGTCGCTTTGAATCGCTTAGCGAACCATTCCTGAAATAACATTATTTACCTTAATGTAATGAAAATCAATTTTGATAGCATAATTGCAACTACTGTCCTCTTAGCAGCCCGGCGCATTAAGCTCCCGCTATGCGCGGGGACGGGGAAGGACCAGACCACAAGGTCTATTGTACGCAGGCTTACCATACATTTCTGCAATAGGCTGTTTTCACGACCTGAACCTGTGACCGTCTGGTCACATGTCAACAACTTTACCAGTTATCACTAAGGCTACTCTTAGCAAATGAAGAAAAAAAGTAGACCTGATAAGGCAAATTTCCAAGAATTGTTTTTGATACTGCACATCCAAATGGAAATTCTGTTGAAATTTGCTTTACATTTACTGCTGCACCTGGCAATCTAAATCCATTTTCATCTACAACATGGACAGTAATGGCGCGCTTCCTTTCCTGAAATGCAACAGCTATATTTTCTGTTATCGCGAACAAAATGTTTTGCATATATGTAACTTAATTGGATGTATTTCGCAGAAGTAGTAGCTAAAGAAAATCATTCAATCATATATTGAGTCAAATAATGAAGTCATAAATGGTGCTTAGTTCTTGCCGTGTTTATCCCTTCAAATTGAATTTTTCTCCATTGCTTCTCCGTGAATGGCTGTAATGAATAGCTAATAAGCTCTATCTCCACATTCTTTCTTGTCCGATCCGAATTCTGCAAAAGATAAAAAAAGATAGATGTTAAAAAAAGAAGAGATATATAAGACGAAGGAAATATGTACTTTTTTTAACCATCTGGTATTTACAGCCTACTCGCCTGACTAATCCAGCCCAAATAGGGGGGGGTAATGTCACTAACGCACTCCCTATCGAGAAGTTTTTTATCCCCAGGAAACGCTTTTTATTTCCAGGCTTGAAAAAATAACTTAGGGGTCGTTTCGTATGAGGTGCAAGAAGGTATAAGGGTAGTATAAAAATTTAATACCACCTTAATATTCTGTTTGGTTAGCAAAACATGTATAAGTTATTCCGGTGTTAATTTTAACACCAAGATAACTTATACCATATAGAGGGTGGGGTAATTAGCACCGGTATAACTTATACCTTCTTTTTAGAAATTATGCAATTGTCATTCTTAGTACAACATACCAAATAGTGAATAAACAACAATCCCAACATAACTTATCCCAACATAACTTATACTGACATAACTTATACCGGTATAAGGCGTATTCCAACCAAACGACCCCTTAACAAGTATAAAGAAAATTGTACCTGAAAATCCATCTGAGAAGAGGTGGAAGGTGAATCCCAACGGAAACCACCTTTGAGAAAAGACCAACATCCTTTCTTGGCTATAACACTTCCTATACATTTTGCAAATGTGTTCTCTACCTTGATCGTAGCTGATATTAGGGCAGAATTTACATTTTTCACTCTCACCCAGCCTGTGAAAAATACCATATAATTAATACCTATGCTTTAAAAACTAGTCCTACTTTTGGAATTTAAACTGAGTTCAGAATAATATGATGAGCAACAACAGTATAATAAGGCGACGACGACAACATTAATAATAATTATAACAGTACAAGAACTTAACTGGAGAAGGAATAAAATGAGCCTGAAGATAGATTTGGCAAGGTAAAAGTAGGTGAATTAACCATATCTCCATTGATATCTTTGACAGGTTTATATTCAGGTAATTTATTCACTAGAATTCCTCCATTGTAAAGTGGCGCCTCTGGATCCGATTGACACTGTCATCAAACGGTAGAATTAACACCTTTAAACTAAAAATATCACGCTAGTATAACATATGTATAACTGTGTATAGTCAATGTATATTCTATGTATACCGGCTGGGAAAAGTGAATATTGGTCGGTTATTTGTGTAACAACCCCTTTTTCATATAACAATAAAATGGATTTTTTTTTTTGTGGTATGGCTTCTTAAAAATGCTTTATTACCTCTGTCCAAGCTGAAGAATCATAAACAGGTCCATCTGAAATACAAAGAATATGAAATGAGAAAAAGAAGAATCAAAAGCGGATCCACGTGGAAAGTATTATTGCACCAATTCTTATATAGGTATTTCAATAATATATAAGGGTGATTAAAACAAAGAGAAGAAAGAAAAAGAACCATCATGTTTAGCTTGGGAAGAGGTAGCAAAGAAAATAAAAGGAAAGAGGGTCCAAAATAATGGACTTCTCCCCCACATTAACATCAACATAGTGTTCTCTGTTTTGTAACAACTCTCAACAATTCCTTTAAAATTTCCTATAAATATCTTTTTCTTTTTATGTTAAATTTGCAACGTAAATGAAGTCTCATAAATGCATTAATTGAACTAAGATGGCTTCCTTTTTCCTGTTTCGATACAGACTTCCTAAATTAGCATCATTATGTTGAAGAGGAGAGAAATAATTGTTTTTTCTCCTCATTTATATTCATGCTTCCATTAATTACTTGCTAGTTATTAATTACTTGTGTCCTTCGTCGGATATGAAATCGAAGATGTAAATTTGAATTCCGGATTATAATATTGGTAAAAGATTTCAAGAAAATTAGCTTGATAAAAAAGACATCACATTGGCGTTTAAAATCTAAGGAATTAAAATGAGAGTGGATATTTGAAAAAGTTGTATAAGCTATACTTATGATATAGTGTTGAATACTTGACATATTTCAAAATAGAATAAGTGTTATATAAATTGAGAGCAAATAAAGTATTTTGTAGGCTTAACAAAATCTCGGAGTTACCTTTTCCTAATGATGTTTTATACTTCAATGCCACACAAGAGGGGTGATTTGTGTGGTGTCCAATTTTCGCGTGCACAAGTTATAGAAGGATTTAGTTTTTATATGTGTTCCTTATACTATTATTGCGGAAATAATAAATGCAAAAAATAAAGAGCACAAGTATTTTTACGTGGAAAACACCTGGCTCAAAAGGTGAAAAAACCACGGCCAACTAATCAATAGGATTTTTCCCAACACTTTACTAAATCACTGAGCCAAAACAATATTTCCAAAATTCTTTGTAAACCTAAGGATTACCTCTAATCCCGTTGCGGCAACCAGCCTCTAACTGTTGCGACAACTTCAAGTTAACTTTAACTAGAATACTCAAAGTATCTAATACAATTGCTTCTAGATAAAGATGAAAGTGCAATTTGAAAAAACCTACTATAATGTAACTAAAATATATAAAAGACAGACATTTGGAACTGGTTCTTCTATCTGGTTCATGTAGCTTTAGGTTCGCACACTTGAATCACACAAGAATTGCTTGCAAAATACCTTGATATTTTGCTCTCAACTCACGTTTAACTTCAGCATTTGTGCGTCCCTATAAAGTGAGAACATCCTGAAATATATAGAGTTAGTAGAATAGGAAATAACTAGAGTTCCAATATTATACTCTTCCTTGGTGGAAGGGTTCTAGTTATCTTCAACTTCTAACCTTTCCCTTATCTTGGATAAGTTCTCTTCGACTAAGGAGTCCTTCTCCTTATCAATTATGCAACCTTTTCGATCAGGAGATATCAGATATAACAAGTTAAGCTTATCTCTTTCACGTGCATCCCTTATGCTCGAATATGCTCGTGTTTGTATACATTGTGTATGGACCTGGTTCATGCTTGAGTTCCTTTGCCAATCGTCAAAAACTTCACTTGGGCCAACAAATTCCCTCTTTTTGATAATGACAAACTCTGTGCTATTTTCATAAGCATAGGCTCTGTTTCAACTCAGCTCAACATCAACATAATGTTAGAATGCTTTCCATTTTAAAATCGCAAATCATCAAGGATCAGGTTCATTATGTTATATACATCACAGTCCAAAGTAAAATCACAACCTAATCTTCCCCCTTTTGGCATTATCAAAAAGTTTCATAATTATGTTAGATAACTAGATTTTAATAGAAATTACACATGGTGACTGAGGCTACTTCAAATGCAATCATAGAATCAAGCATCATTTATTAATCTAATAATATTAACCATCTAAGAAGAATCAACAAACAACTAGAGCACAAAAAATAGTTGATTGTCATTGGTACTAGTCATCCACAAAAAGAGAAATAAAAATACTGGATCATGAGCAAAAGGAACAAAAAAATCCCATCCGGGTCAATGCTTTGTCTAACTAGGCTAGGAAGTCTTAAGGCTGGGAAGGACCAGGTTCTTGGTTCTTAGCTTGAAGCAGTTTCAACATATCATGAAGAATGCTATCATTCTTCTCCTTGTCTTTTTCCAGCTCAGCTCTGAGAGCATCTCTCTCAGTTTCTACTTCTTCCAACCTCTTCTTCAGCCTTTCAATTTCAGTATCCTTAGCCCCACTTTCTTGCACCAAGGATCGGACTTTGCTGTTCACAGGTACCTTTTTAAATGAACCGGGTTCTTTGGAAGTAGTGTGGACTTTATAATCAAAAGCAGTCAAAGTATTTGCCCCAAAGTGATCCTTGCTTGTACCAACTTCTCATTTCGTAATGGGTACCTTGAAGTGTGCAAGTACAACCGTGAGAATAAAACCATAGGGTATGGAATGAGTTTTGGTGCCAGTCAGAACCCTATCCAGAAGCTGAATGATAAATCCTAAGCCTGCCAAATGGGCCGGGTTGACCCATTTCTGGACCGGCCCAGACCGAGTGGAAACCCGGCCTGGTAGTTAGGGGGCCGGGTGGGCTGGGTTAGGGGTGTTGATCCGTTCACCAAAAAAGATCTGGTTAACCGGACCGGTCAAATTCGGTCAACAAAAAGTACTATTGAACTGGTTAACCGGCCCGGACTGACTTAATGGCTAGAAATTTGATTTTTTTTAAATGTCATATGACCGTTGCCCAACAGGATTGCAAGAACAGTCCTTTTTTGGCAATATTTTTTAAGAAATTAACACTTTTAGTAATTACTAATTTAGCCCTTTAAAAAACTATAAATACACCTCTCTCTTCTTCATTTCTTCACTTGTCTCTCATTTCTCAAATTCAAATTCTCAATTCAAGTTAAATCATACCTCGTACTTCTAGAGTGCGCTCATATGTTTGGGAACACTTTGAGGTGGTAGAAGAAAATAAAGAAGTTCACAAAGTAAAGTGCAAGAACTGTGGCCTCATCTTAAATCTTCGCCTAAAGTGGGTGGGCACAAACTGTTTAATGAGGCATATGATGAGTTGTCTTGAGCGTCCTCCGGAAATTCGTATTATAAGTTGATTTGAGATAATTTATATTATTTTAAAATTATTAGACGTATTTATGCTTAATGTTTTAGTTTGTTAGATTAATTTGAAGTATTATTATGCAATGAAAATTTAGTTTTACTCTTTTTTTCGTTAATTTAGTTGTTGTTAAATGTAAACTTTAATTTGTAAGTTTAAAATAAAAAAAGAACTTGCAAATTATAAGTGTAATTTTTTTCCATCTTCATTGTAGTCTATTATCTTAAATTCTTAATGAAATATTTAAAATTTCAAATATAAAGATTTTAAAGCCTTTGCATCGTTTTATTCAAACACTCTTTTTATAAGATTATTTTTTTGTTTTATATTTTTACTTTTGTGATGAAACAATAAAAGAAGAAGAATAATATTGCATAGAAAGAGAGAGAGAGGAAATTCTTATTGAATTTTGGGATGATTTACAATGGGATAAGACCCCTCTATTTATAAGGGAAAAATGAGTTATCCATAAAGTAAAACTCTATACAAGATATACATTCACTCTAAATAGAATTCTATTCATAACACTCCCCCTTGAATGTCTACTCAATAAGTAATGTGCCTCATTAAAACCTTAACTAAAATAAAACCAAAAGATTCTAGAAAAGGAAAAAGAGTACACATGTTTAGAAATATGCCTATTGGTTGCCTCGTTAAAAACCTTGCAAGGAAAACCCAGTTGGACAAAATATTGTAAGGGAAAAAGAGTGCAACGCGCATTAAACTCTCCCTGATGAGAGCATCATTTCACATCCTTGAGCCTTCGCATCCCAATCTTGTGCACTAGCTTCTTGAAGGTTGACGTCAATAGAGATTTTGTGAACAAATCAGCTATATTATCACTTGAACGAATTTGTTGCACATTGATATCACCATTCATTTGAAGATCATGTGTGAAAAATACCTTTGGTGAAATGTGCTTTGTCCTATCTCTTTTTATGAATCCTCCCTTCAATTGAGCTATGCATGCTGCATTATCTTCATACAAAATTGTGGGTAGTTTGTCACATTTCAAACCATATTTGTCTCGAATAAGATATATTATAGACCTCAACCACACACATTCTCGACTTGCTTCATGAATAGTAATTATCTCAGCATGATTAGATGAAGTAGCCACAATTGATTGCTTAGTCGATCGCCAAGATATGGCAGTGCCTCCATAGGTAAACACATAACCTGTTTGAGATCGAGCCTTGTGTGGATCAGATAAATACCCAGCATCGGCATAACCAACAAGATCAGGACTACAATTATTGCCATAAAATAAGCCCATATCGATAGTCCCTTTTAGATACCGTAATATGTGTTTGATTCCATTCCAATGTCTCCTTGTAAGAGCAGAGCTATATCTTGCTAAGACATTAACTGAAAAAGTTATATCAGGCCTTGTAGTATTAGCAAGATACATTAGTGCACCAATTGCACTAAGATATGGTACTTCAGGACCAAATAGCTCTTCATTCTCTTCTTGAGGTCGTAATGGATTCTTATTCATATCAAGTGATTGAACAACCATCAGAATACTTAATGGATGTGCTCCATCTATGTAAAACTATTTCAATACCTTTTCTATGTAGGTAGATTGATGAACAAAAATTCTATTTGCCAAATGTTCAATTTGCAAACCAAGAAATAATTTTGTCTTTCCGAGATCTTTTATCTCGAATTCCTTCTTTAAATAATCAATTGCCTTTTGGAGTTCTATAGGAGTTCCAATAAGGTTTATGTCATCAACATACGACAAGTACAAAAAATTTCGATGTTGTCTTCTTTATAAAAATACATGGACAAATGACATCATTTATATAACCTTCCTTTAATAAATACTCACTAAAACGATTATACCACATTAGTCTTGATTGCTTTAGACCATACAAATATCTTTGCAATTTGATTGAAAATATTTCCCGGGACTTTGAATTATGTGCGTTGGGTATTTTAAATCCCTCGGGAATTTTCATGTATATCTCATCATCAAGTGAGCCATAAAGGTAGGCGGTAA